CACCCCTAAGTTTAACAGATTGTGTAAGAAATTACCAAGTCTATTAATCTCACACAAATATAGAGATATAGGAGAGTTAAACACTTCCAAAAAAAGAAGATATATATCTTCTTAGAAAAATGCACTTCATTTCTTGAACAACTTAAAGGTACGTCATTTTTATTCATCAATCATTGTCCATGTGATTTTTTCATTGCACAATTTAATGTACGATGTCAAAATTTAGTATTTATGTATGGGCTTAATGTACTCCTTTTAAAAATGATTTAAGAGATTGAGTCCTTTACCTGAAAATGCTTCCATAAACCATGAAACTTGGTTTTAATATGGAAATCATGAACTATGATTACTTTATCCTTTTGAAACAAAAGCTAGTAATTCTATTTTGTCAATTGACTTGTCTTCTTTTACACGTTGCATTTCAACCCTCAATTGTATGGTAAAATAAAAACAACCCTTTCGTCATTTTCCAAAATAAAGGTTTTAACTGACTACATGATTATTCACATCACAATTGTTAAGTAATTCTAAAGAAACTTCCATGTAATGGAAATATACATTATCTTTGAGAAAAAGCAGAGGAAAAGACAAAAAGGGGTATATACACATTTACGGTATAAGGGTCATGTTACTTTCTTCAAGTGCCATGGTCCTTTCCTCTTTTCTTTTTATATCTCTGTTGCATGAAAGATTTTTTAGAATTACTTTCGTATTGAGAGTTTTGATGCGAATAATCATGTAATTTGCTAAAGCATTTATGATTAGTGTTGAAATGAGAAAAGGGTTGTTGGTCTTTGTTCATGGAACTAGCGGTTGAAATGCAACAGGTGTGAAAGAAGACAATCCAATTGACAAAATACAATCAGAATCATTAGCTTTTCTTTCAAAAAGATAATCACAATTCATAAATTCCACGTTAAAACTAATTTTCCACGGTATATATGGAAGCATTTTTTAGGTTGATGACCACATAATTATGCATCCACTTCCTAAATTATTCTTAGGAAAATTACTTTATGCCCATACATACATTAGATTTCGACACCGTATGTTGTGTAATGTAAAAATCTCATGGTGACGGTTGATGAATAAGAACAACATACGTTAAGTTGTTCAAGAAATATAACTATAACAAGTAATGGAGTGCATTTTTCTAAGATGTATATCTTTTCTTTTTGGTAAATGTCTAACTCTTACGTTAGCCTATCTCTCAATTGCCGTGTGTGATTAGCACGAGATTAGCGTTCGAAAATGTAAGAGAAAAGAAACGGCGGGCTAGATAATTGTATCTTCTCCCTTTTTGCGAGTGGCGGCGTAAAACAACAATCAAGACTGTCAGTATCGGCGGTGTAAGGTTTAAGAAACCATGACTAACTTGCTCTTTGAGCACCCTGACCCTTACTATATATATAGGTATCAACCCTCGCTGTTTTCCTGAACAATTTGTCCCAAAGAGAGAAGGGTTTGAGAGACTACGTCTAATAAGGAAGTTGAGGAGGAAAAAAGGCTATATCAGTCTGCAAGGACTTGTGAAAAAATAGTAAAACAGGTAGAGTATGCAATGTACCTTAAATCCTTAAATCTAACTTTAACCTTGTTTGTGAATCAGTGTTAGTCAGATAATTACCGGTTCGGGCATCCTTTCTTCTTTTTTTCTTTTTTGGAAAGAGGGGTTTGTTCCATTTTTATACACACTCGACCTAAGTTTTGATTACGATTTAATCTTCGGTTTAATCTCTGTTCTTCAGTTTGATGAGCTCATTGGGATGATGGACACTGGGAGCAAACTGCCTCAGCGACGAAAGGTATCTTCAATAAGATCTCTTGGCTAATTTCGATTAGTTTATCTTCTAAATCTTAATTGGTGCATGCTAATATGCAATGCGATTAAGTACTTGTTCTTCCTTGGTTTCATGCATGACAGAATTCTACAACTGCTCCTGCACCAGAAAGTCAACAGGAGGACAATGAAGTGTTAGTGCAGACAATAACAAGATTTCTCTATGACCTGAGAACTAACCCTGCAGAACCCGAGAGCTCCACAACCCCCGGAGAACAAGAATTCTTCATGTAGGGAAAGATTGCAGCACAATAGCAGAGAAGCAATTGTCTTAAGTAGTAATTGTATTTAGTGGTAATAAGTGGTTAATTACTCCAGTGTGAATGCTTGACTATCTAGTACAGTATGGTAAACATGTTAAAGCTACACATTTCTTGGAAGTGAATCAGATAGACAAAGCTGTTTATCCAGTTTTTATTTTATAAAAAATCTTTAACAAAAAAACAAATGGACAAAATTACCATTAGTATTTAACAATAATAGTACTTTGAAATACAGCCATATTAAATTATGAACAGACACCCGGATATCCAGAATTTCACATCTTCCAAATAAATGAATTACACTTTGAAAAACCGTGGAGATCTATTACAACAAGGAATTTTACAAGGCAAAGAAAATGGTACATTCAAGGTTGAACAATTTACATTGGCTCCCGATCATGAAGATAAGTACGATGGAAAACAGAAAAAATCATTGTATATTTAGTAGAAGAAAAGCAGTCATTACCCGAATACCTCAGTTTCCCGGAAAGCAGCATGAATTAAGAACTGTAAGGGGACGCATGCATCACGCCCAAAAATAAGTCTTTGATGGTTTAAGTAACCAATGAAGCTAGAAACTTTCAAACGGGAGTGCTTATGGGGTGTGTTTCGCGGTTGAGAGCATATGGGCTGAATCTTTTGACCCTTGATGATATAATAAACCTATTGAACGCTGCACTTCAGTTTCTCAGCCTCAAGCTCCTGTTTCAAGGCTTCCATCCGTTTTATTAAGGCCATCTTTTCCTGGAAAATATTTTCAAGACTTGTAATTAAGAAAAGGAAGGATTCAAACCTAAGGGAACTTTCAAACACTACACTAGCAAATCATTGTCTGTAGGAACCAATAAGGAAGAGAGAAAATTATGACGTAACATCAAAATCTGTAGTTCATACACATTATTTGGGTTCATAGCATAAGTTAATTTCTAACAAAAGGTATTTGATAATACAAGCAAGCCATCCTCAGCATGGTTTCTAATGAGCTCCTTAATCTGGTTTACTAAGGGGTGCATAAAAGTGAATGATGTTGAAAGAGGATAAACCTTTGACAGTTTGAGAGGAAAATGAACGAAGTTATGAGACATTGCATCTGGGGGATATAACCCTTCATGTTACTTTTTTCAAGCGCCTAACTAAAATAACTTACCCTTAGCGCGGATATACCCCTTTTATTTCCTCGGCTCTTTTTCACAAATAATGTTTATCTCCGTTGAATGAAAGTTTCTTTAGAACTAATTTAGTGAGAATTTAGATGCAAATAATTATGTAATCAATTAAAACATCTATGATTAGTGCTGAAAATGATACAATTGGTGGTTGGTCTTTGTTCATGGAATTGAGGGTTGAAAAGCAACATGTGTGAAAGAAGATAAGTCGATTGGCAAAATACAGTTAACTTTTCTACCAAAAGGATAAAATAATAACAATTCAGGAATTTCACGTTCAAACCAATTTTCCATGGTTTATGGAAGCAGTTTTTAGGTTAAGGATCAAATAATTATGCTTCCATCTCCAAGATTATTCTTAAAAATAGTACATTATGGCCATACAAATATATTAGATTTTGACAATGTACGTTAAGTTGTGCGATGAGAAAATCTTGTGGGCGACGGTTGATGAATAAAAACGACATAGGTTAAGTTGTCTAAGAAATATAATTATAAAAGGTAATGGAGATCTTTTCCTTTTGGTAAGTGTTTAACTCTTGCACTAGCCTATATCTCAACTTCCATGTCGATTAGCACAAGAAATGCGTTCGACGGTGTAAGAGAGAAGAAACGGCGGGCCAGATAACAATATCTCCTCTCTTTGTACGAGTGGCGATGTAGAACAACAGTCAAGACGGTTGATAACGGCGGTGTAAGGTTTAAGAAACCATGACTAACTTGCTCTTTGAGCATCTTGACCATTACTATATAAAGGTTTCAACCCTTGCTGTTTTCTTGAACAATTTGTCCCAAAGAGAGAAGGGTTTGAGAGACGATGTCTAATAAGGAAGTTGAGGAGCACAAAAGGATATATCAGTGTGCATGGACTTATGAAAAAATAGTAAAACAAGTAAATATGCAATGTATCTTAAATCCTTAATCTAAATTTAACCTTGTTTGTAAATCAGTATTAGTCAGATAATTACCGCTTCGAGCATCCTCCTTTCTTTCTTCTTTGGAAAGACGGGTTTGTTCCATTTTCATACATACTAGACCGAAGTTTTGATTATGATTAATCTTCTGTTTAATCTCTGTTCTTCAGTTTGATGAGCTGATTGAGATGATGGACACCAAGAGCAAACCGGCTAATCGACGAAAGGTATCTTCCATAAGATCTCTTGGCTAATTTCGATTAGTTTATCTTCTAAATCTTAATTATATGCATGCTAATATGCAATGTGAATAAGGTATTGTTCTTTGGTTTCATGCATGACAGAATTCTACAACTGCTCCTGCCCCAGAAAGTCAACAGGATGACAATGAAGTGTTAGTGCAGACAATAACAAGATTTCTCCATGACCTGAGAACTAACCCTGCAGAACCCGAGAGCTCCACAAGCCCCGGAGATCGAGAATAGCTCTCTTCATGTAGGGAAAGATTGCAGCAGACTAACAGAGAAGCAATTATCTTAAGTAGTAATCGTATTTAGTGGTAATAAGTGGCTAATTACTCCTGTGTGAATGCTTGACTGTCTAGTACAGCATGGTAAACATGTAATGGCTACACATTTCTAAGTGCATCGTGCATCAGATTTTATAGTTGTTGCAGACAAAACTCTTTATCCAGTTTTTTATTTACTTATATATGTCTTTTAACGAAAAAAAAAAACCAAATGGGAAAATTACCATTAGTATATAACAATAATAGAACTTTGAAATAAAGCCATACGAAGTTACGAACAGACACCCGGACATCCAAACATCTTTCAATTAAATGAATTACACGCCTTGAAAAATCATGGAGATCCATTACAACAGGGAATTTTACAAGGAATAAAAAATGGTACTTTCAAGGTTGAACAATTTACATTGGCTCCCGATCATGAAGATAAGTAAGATGCAAAACAGGAAATGTCATTGTATATTTAGTAGAAGAAAAGCAGTCATTACCCGAATACCTCAGTTTCCCGGAAGGCAGCATGAATTAAGAACTGCACGGGGGCACATGCATCTCGTCCAAAAATATGTCTTTGATGGTTTAAGTAACCAATGAAGCTAAAAACTTTTAAACTGGAGTGCTTATGGGGTGTGTTTCGTGGTTGAGAGCATAAGGATTGAACAAAATGAAAAATGCGGTGAATTTGATTACGCTGTATCTTTTGACCCCTGATGATATAATAACCTACTGAACGCTGCACTTCAGCTTCTCAGCCTCAAGCTCCTGTTTCAAGGCTTCCATCCGTTTTACCAAGGCCATATTTTCCTGGAAAATGTTTTCAGGACTTGTAAGAAAAGGAAGGATTCAAACCTAAGGGAATTTTCAAACACACTACACTAGCACATCATTGTCTATCAGAACCAACAAGGGAGAGGAGAGAAAAAATTTGACGTAACATCAAAATCTGCAGTTTATACACATTATTTGGGTGCATAACATAAGTTGGTTTCTAACAAAAGGTATTTAATAATACGAGCAAGCCATCCTCAGCATGATCTCTAATGAGCTCTTTAATCAGATTTACTAAAGGGTGCATAAAAGTGAATAATATTGAAAGAGATAAACGTTTAAGAGGAAAAAGAATGAAGTTATCAGACATTACAAGAACTTTTGTATTAAGTCTTTTACTGAAAAGAAAGGGGTCACCTTTTGTAGATTCAACAATTTCTGGTCGACGTTAGCAGCATTTCCATCACCCTCCCCAAACAATCCCTTTATCTGTAAGGAACACAAACGATTAATTGATCGCAGAGAGATGATCATGTCGTTAGACTGATCCATTCTTTAACAAGTCATTTAACTCAAGGATGCCCTTCCAAAGATTGAACCCAAACCCACGTTGACAGGACTATAGGGAAATAGAGTGATAGCACCCATACTTTAGGTATCGTTTGGTATGCAGACGGAACGGGACAGAACGGAATGAGACAGGACGGGACGGGACAGGAAGGAACGGAACGGAGCGGGGGCAAAGATGCCCTCGGATGGAAACAAGGAGGAAGAAGAAGGAGACGGAGAGGTTATAATTTTGTGTTCCACGAATGTGGAACGAGTCGTTCCAGGGGGTGAGGTGGAACAAAAATTCACCTAAAACTCGTCTCGTGGAACAGCTCGTTCCACCCGTTTTAGGCGCACCAAACGTGGGACGGAACACCTTGTCCCACTCTGTTCCGTTCCGTCCCACGTACCAAACGGTTCCTTAGTTTTTCCAAAGTGGTTTTAAATATTTTCGATGCAGAGATCTCTTTCAAAGACTAATCTTGCTTTGACAATCCTTACTATTTTAAGCATGCAATGACACTCTACAAAATTCATACGAAAACTAATTTCCCGAAACTCTAGTTGTTGAACAAGTTGTGCAAATAAATTTAAAAGAAAGGAAGAATACGGTGTGAACCTGTTTGAGTTGATTGATACACTTGGTAGCCTTTTTGGCTTCTTCATCGTATTTCAGCCTCCACTCAGCAGATTCATCCATTGCTTCCCTATTCGCAAGGTCGAACTGCCGCCTACAAGATTTCGATAGAACAAACATTTCATTCCATGAAAAATTTATTAAAATTTGTGTCATATGAAGCTCTTAAAATTAAAGGGTACATTTGAGATCATATAATAATAGTAATACAGAGTATGAACCAACCAGATGAGCCAAACCACAAAGTTAGAATTTCTCATCAATCACTAATGGAAAGTAAAATCCAAGAACTTGGGCTTAATTTAATTTAGATTATATCTAAAGGGTATTCATTCATTCATTCATGGAATCCATAAATCTATGAACCCTCAAAAAAAAAAAAAAAAAAAAAACAATTGAGATTTGAAGTAGAAAAAATGAGATGGGAAGCAAAAAGCAAACCTGAGGAGGTCGGCTTCGTCGGAAGAAATGGAATAGTCGATGGTCCAAAGCCGCAAGTAGACGGCAATTCCTAGAAACATGACCAGAACCAAACCCACCAGTATTTTCTTGCTCCCTCCACCCCCGCCCCCCATTTCTTTTGCTCCCAACTCTCAGTCCTTACTCGCTCAAGCTTCCGTACCTGTTCTACCAGCCATCGAACGGGTAAGATTCTGGCCCATTACCCCATGTACTATTTTTCTGTCTTGGGCCAACTTTTATCAATTTGACCGTACGGTTTTATTATTTATTTTTAATTTTAAGCTAATGATAGGCAAATTAAATTTGCGCTACACTAACTCAATTTGAAAAATTAAATGATCCGTCATTAATAAAAAAATAAGTACTTTAATACTTAATTACTAATTCACTCATCAACTTTTATTTCTTTTAGTCTACAAATTTTGTCTCTCTAACATTACGCTTAATTTTTTTATTCACGATGGTAGTAAGATACAAAACCAAAAGGCGGTCTTTTTTTTCTCTCTCACTCACTAGGTGTTTCCATTTTTTCTTTTAGATGTGTTTGGCCCATAAATTTATTTAGAGAGGACCCGAAATTAATTGATGGATTTAATACCCTTAGGTCTTCTCCAATCTTGGGCTAAAACTCAAATTTTCACTTTTATTTCCCCCCAAAACTCAACCCAACCCAAGGCCAGAATGTGGCCTAAAACCTAAAACTCAAATGGAAGCCAAATTTTTCCCAGGATTAGTGGGGCTAGCCTACCATATATGTATATTTTATTTAGTTTTATATTTATAAATTCATTGAATCCAACAGTTAAGATCTAAATTGATGAAATTCAACAGTAAAAAAAATAAATAAATAACGGTCCAAATTTAAATCTAATGGCTAAAATAATTATAAAAAAAATCTATCATTTGTTTCATATTTTTTCATAGTGCTTAATGAGTTTCATGGTGTCGGTTAGTGATTTTTCAGTGTTTGTCAGAATCTAAATATTTTTAGGTTAAAATGTTTATAAAATTAAATTAGGATAGTCTACATAATTTTTTATTTTAAAAAAGTTACTTTAAGAAAAAAAATTAGTCTAAATTCATTATTTAATAATTTGGGGCTAAAATTTTTCATAGTGCTTAATGAGTTTCATGGTGTCGGTTAGTGATTTTTCAATGTTTGTCAGAATCTAAATATTTTTAGGTTAAAATGTTTATAAAATTAAATTAGGATAGTCTACATAATTTTTTATTTTAAAAAAGTTACTTTAAGAAAAAAAATTAGTCTAAATTCATTATTTAATAATTTGGGGCTAAAATTTTAGACCAGAGTGTTGGAGTAGAAAAGCTGATTCTGGGTTAAAACCTAAATTTTCTAGGCTAAAAATTTTAGGTTTTAGGCCAAGGGTTGGAGATGGTCTTAGAAAATTATCGATGGATTTGCAACAGAATGAGTTTCAAACAAATTGAAAGCAGGTATGATGGTGGGAGGATGGCGACCAGGCCCGTCGGAGGTTGCCTTTGTCTTATTTGTTTTTCTTTCTTAGGCCTCGTTTAGAAATGTGTTTAAAATGATTGGAAACGTTTTTGGTGAAAATATTTTTGAAACTAATTATTAGTAAAAATTCAAATAGATCCTTGAAAAACACTTTATATGAAATGCAAGAAGCACATATCTTGTGTTTTTTTTTTTTTCAAAAGTACTTACACTATGTTTGGATGAGGGAAATAAACATGGAATTTTGGTAAAAGTCAGAATTTATAAATTAACAGGCACCAATTCTCTTGTTTGGATTCATAAGCATAGAAATTTAGAATTTCCGCATGGAAAAAAACTTGGAATTTGGGACCTCCAAATCCCAAGTTCAAATTCCATGTAAATAGGTGTCATTTCTCAATTTCTATGATTGAGAGTTTAAGAATAACAAATTCTGCATTCAATTCCATTGTTCTTTTAGGTTAACCAAACAAGAAAATTACAAATTCTAGAAAATAAAATCTCGTCATTTCAATTTCCGTCATTTTTAAATTCCTTAGTAATCTTAAATTTCTTCATCCAAACATGGTGTTAAGGTATTTTGGAACCCAAAATCAATTTCATCAAAAGTGCTTTTAAACGAGCCCTTAGTTTGCGACCGGTGTCGAATTTGAATAGGGACAAAATTTAAAATTAAGATGTCAAAACTATTTTTGCGTGATCTTAGAAAGGTGTGGAGTTTAAAGGGTTAATTACACTAACTCCCCTAAGGTTTATCGTATTTTCACAAAAACCCCTCACATTTGAATCATTATACTAACACCTTTGAAGTTCTAATTCACTTTCACATAACTCCTCTAGGGCTAACATCACCTTAAAATAAATTCTTAAAGACAAATTTGCCCTCATAATTAATAATGAAGGCAAATTTGTCTTTAAGAAAATATTTTAAGGTGATGTTAGCCCTAGAGGGGTTATGTGAAAGTGAATTAGAACCTCATGGGGTGCTAGTGTAATGTTTCAAACGTGAGGAGTTTTTTGTGAAAATACAATAAACCTCAAAGAGGATTAGTGTAATTAACTCAGAGTTTAAATATATAAAAAAACTCTAATAACAAGGTTTTATTTTTGTGTAGTCTATCTATAATGTGTATAGTATTAAACTCATGTACATATTGCTAAGCTAACTATGGATGCAAATTTCCACCTTCTTCTTCTTAGACGAAAATGCACCTGCAAAACAATTAACACCTAAGGTCAAGGCCAAGAGCCTCACGCGCCCAAGATGAATTGGGAGGGGGGCCGCTTTGGCTGAAGAACCTCTGATGCCAAAGTTAGAATTGAGAGAGAAAGTGTTTAGAGAATTTTAGGAGAAGAATGGACTTAGGTTTTTTGAGAAATGAGGAGGTATATATAAGGGTGTGGCCGGTTCTATTTGGAGAAATAGGGACCAGCCACTTATAGTGGTGATTTGGATGTAATTGTAATCAATTAGGCAATTAATCAATTAATTGGGTAATTAATCAATTAATTAGCTAATCAATCCTAATTTAAAAAGAATGATGTGGGGGTTACCTTGTAAGGAGGATTTGATGAGGATTGATGAAAAATATTTTGAATAAATACCATATAGGTCACCTTTGACCTTGATTGAGCCGTTATTGTCCGCTACTTGCGCATGGGAATCCCGATGTGCCTCGAGGGTAATTTTGTCTTTTTCACCTAAAAATCCATGTGTCGCCTCCATAATTTTGTTGATTATTTTTGGCTCCACACTAACTTCTCATGTGTCAAACTCCATATGTTTGTCTTTCTTCACCACATTGTACGTAATCTCTTTCTTTTCAACCAAAGATATTTTGCTCATGACAAGAAAAAAAGACACATGAAAGTATACACCACATTACATCATACAATAAGACAGAGAAACACATAAGTGTATACACTCAATTGGTTGTCCTCATATGTATACACTCATAAGGTTTGATTTTGTCATCCTCATATGTATTTCTTTATTTGTTTTAATAAGAATAGGGGATCAGTAGGCTCTAGCTGAGGAATTAAGGTCATCTCCAACCGAAGGGTCCAGAGGGCCAGAAGGCCAGAAGGCCGAAAATAGCCCGAAAATCGTCTCCAACCGAGGGCTAGGCCAGAGGGCTCGTGGGCCCCACGGAATATGAAAGGACCAAAGGGCTAAAGGGCTGGCTAGAAATTTTTGAAGTAGTGTTGATTTTTCTGTTGGTTATAACTAATAGAAATAAGGGAAATGATGTTAGTTATAACCGACACAAATAGCTGGAAAATTTTGAAATAAACGGCTATCTAACAAAAGTAGTGTTGGTTATAACCGACCCAAATATGAAAAATTTTGAATATAACAGCTAGCTGACATCAGCTAGCTGTTTTTTTTTTGTATATATATAGTTTTTTTTTTTTTTTTTTTTTTTTACAAAATTTTTTTAAATTGTTTTTTTTTTTTTTTTTTAATTCTATTTGTTTCCTATAACTTCCTAAGCCATTATACAACATTAAATTTAAATAATAAATTATGTTTAGCCCTGTGGCCCTTAGGCTCTCGGTTGGAGATGGAAGCAAATATAGCCATATACTGTTCATTAAAATATTAATTTCTTGGAGGGTCAGAGGGCTAAAACGAGCCACTTAGCCAACCCTCGGTTAGAAATAGCCTAATATTGCCTCATCTTCTTCTATTAAAATGTACATACACACAATGTTTCATGTAAAGTACCCTCCCAAACCCAACCCAAGTTCTTTCTCTCTTGTTCGTGCAAATTACAAAAAAAGTTGCTTTGGATTCGTCGTTTTTACGCAAGCAAAATGATGAGGGGGGAAAATAACAAGTGGAAATCGGAAAAAACAAAGGGCGGTGAAAAAGAAACCAAGCAGCGCCCTTAGTTTTCGTGATTTATTATTAAGCTATAGTGCTAAATTCATTAACTGTTGTTCTTTGGATAATATATAAATTATAAACCCGTTCCCAATAAAGTTTAATTAACTTATTCTTGTGGCATCTTATTTTAAGAAGTGTTATTAGCTCTTTAAAAATTTCATTTTACACTTCTCGCAAGTGTATTTTTCTTTCCTAATATAAAAAATTTGAAGTGTAGAATAAGATTTTTAGAATACTAATAATAATTTCCTTTATTTTTTAGGTCCAATGCTGCTTATAGTTTTGGGTTTAAGATAGGCACTTATTTGGCCAATGATGATTTGGACGTGCTGCTGGTTATTTGATCAAGGTTGAATTTGGTCATGCTGCTGCTTGTCGTTTTCTAATATGTATTTTTTATGAAGTATGCTCTGATAGCAACTCGTTTGATGTAATAGCTTTAAAAATACTTTTTTTTCTTTTGTTTAACAAATGATATTATCTACATTAAGGGGACGGGGTGGCTTAGCCTCATAATAGGATAATGTGGTTCAAATTCACCTTTGGCAAAAATCGGACCTATGACCTCTCACTTATAAGTGAAGAGAAATCCCAATAGACTATAGTACTAAGTGGCAGAAATACTTATGTTATTAAAAAATTATTTAGTTTAATGAAAGAGCAATGTTTATTGTTAATCACTAGTCTTTCAAATAATATGTATAATCAATAATAGAATTCAAGGAATTATGTTAACGTAAGAGACACATGATTTAAGTTGTTAGATCATTGAGACCTTTCT